AGACATCAGTGGCCGGGTTAACACTGCTCACTATGGGTCATACGTTGGGCAGAAGCAATTGAAGTACAGACAGACACGCATCCATTGTGCAGGCTGCAGTTATGGAATCATTTTAAGAGGGAAAGAACCATTTTGAATCTCCCCAACTCTTAAATACTGGGTTTGCACTTTTATTAACACTGCGAGGTTAATTTGGATAGCTGAAGTCTTCTGGAGATTGCCAACTATGCAGCAATGAGTGGAATTACAGGTGAAGATACTCCTGAACATGTTTGCAGCCCAAAAATGTCAAGCCTGAATTTATGTTATGTTTATGTTAAGATGCAAGACTGTGCACTTCTTGTCACCCTGCTGACAAGATTGTAACCCACTTGATGATGATAGTCAACAACATAGTTAAACCTTCACTGCCCTCTAGACAATATAGTAAACAAATAAACAATACTTATTTCAGGCTTTGAGATGCAGCAGCAATATTATCTGAATGGCAGAATAATAATAATAGAAAAAACCCATAATTTTGGATTTTTTTTAGAATCTTGGATAATGAATTAATCATACACGCAAACAATTCTTTCAAAAACTTTTTTTTTTTTTTGTAGTGCATACTTATTATCAACACCCACTATTTTTGGCATTTCTAACTCTTTATACTAGCAGGAAGTAGTGCATCTATTAAGGAGTAATGTGGTACAAGATTGTTTTCCTATTTAACCAATTGCATATTTAGATTCATGTTCCATGCAGACTTCTTCGTGCTCTCCTAATTCAGTTCTACAAAGATCACACCGCTAATCCATACAATGTTTAATTTCAGCGTAGAAAAGAATGGAGTTATTTGTTAAATTATTTTTTTTTAATTGTTAATGAAGACATACCAAATGCTGATGAAATGGAGCTTAGGAAGTCTTTTGCTCAGATTGATTTTATATAATTTTCAAGAGCTGTAAGGTCATCACTTTGACAGCACTTCCATCAACTAAAGGATTTCTGGCCTATAGAGTCATGCTAGATACTCATAAGTTTATGTAGGGCTTTAATTTTTCCATGAGTTAAATTTCCCAAAGAAAAAAGATCTGAACAGCCATTGATTTTCTTCCTGGTGGGTTTCTGATGTCAAGATGGAAAAGAGTTTCAGTTTTAGAATCATTCTTATCTAAACCAGATGCAATCCAGTCGACTGTTAGGTTTTCTGGCATGACAGTTATGACCTCAGTGTTAAATGTAACCCCAAAACTAGAAAATAATTGTGATATATCAGTAACTAGAGTTAAGTTACAGCATACATGCATACCTCACTGCTGAGTATGTCTCAAGGACAGAATGTATGCTCTCACTTCTTACAAAATGTTCATGCATTGTTCCCCTCATGCTCTGAGCCAGGAAGAGTTGCATCTGTTTCTTGCACCAAAGACTCCCACCATCAAATCCAAGAATGCCATAGACTTTTAAATAAAAGGATGGACGTGGTATAGATGTATTTTGAATAACTTGGGATTCTAGAATTTTATTCCTATCTATTTTTCACCATGGATAGCTCTCAAGCAGTTTACTACTTGCCTAAATGTAGTAATAAAAAATATGTTCTGACTTCACATAAGACCTCATAAATAGTCTCTGGACCAAAAATCACCATACCTACCAATCTTCTGGGGAAGAAGAAAAAAAAAGAAACACTGAAGTTTTTTTTATTAATTCTATGCACCCAAAAAAGGAAACTCTTCATATGCTTAAGCCACTATTTCCTCAATAAGGTTCTGAAAAAGAACCAATATATTAATCTGTTGACCAAACAGAAGTTTAGTGACAATTTTATAGAAACTTAGGTGAATTCAACTCCTGGATTTTAACTAGCCTGCCTGCTAAGATGACAAACTGCAAAGTGAACCATCTCCTGTATCACTGTCACAGCACGTTTGCAGTGTTCCAAACAGCAACCCATGCAAGAGTATGAACAGCAGCTGCAATTGTCCCTGTGTCAACAGGAAACTCCCTAAATTTGAGTTGAGAGGAGGTTGTGCCTTTTGTCATAGATTGGTACTGACTTGAAAAGACACTTTTTTCAAGTTAAGAAATAGACAACCGCACTTCAGTACATAGTCCAGAAGAACTAGCATAAAACCTATCAAACAGAATGATTTCCAGGGGCACAAGGACATGAATCGGTCCACTAGGTACATCTACAGGAGACCCTTCCTGGAAGGAATGGTAGCATCCCTAAGTGGTGATAAATAAGCTGTTGCATTAGGACATGGTCCAAAGCATGCACTTTAAAGTGCAGCAGCAGATGCCAAGAGTATAGCTTCCATTCTGGAAGTCCTCTCAACTGGATGTGGAAGAAGTGTGTGTGTGTGGGGGGCAAATTCACTAGCTGGACAAAGTCCAGAACAAGAACTACCTTGCAAAGGTTGAGTGAAAATACTCGTGAGATTAAACACACAGCAGGACCAATAAGTACTTAATCACAGACAGTATTTTGAGACTTTTTTTCAAATATTTACTAAGAACACTTTTCAGTGATTTTAGCCATCTCATATTAACCTTGCTGATACTCGTTTTTTCCTATATATCACTCTTGTAGCATTCAATATTTTAAAAATCCATTAGGCCAATATGAAATTCTTAAATTGTTTTTCATTACATAAATTTATACCAAAAGAAAGAAGTATTTTATTTAATTAGCATCTGCATATTCCATTCATATGAAAAAAATAGTAACACTACTTAGTGATATGCCATTTTGTTCTCAAATGCCAATATTATTACAAATTGGTCCCTTAAAAAATACCCATCACCTCTCTTAACCCTCTAAAAATATGAAACAACTTTTTAGTTGAAAAAAAATGGCAGTTAATTGGTTATTCATTATACGTCTTTCTCTGATGTGTTTAAAGCACAGAATGTTGACATTCTGACAGGCAACAGGCATTGTGATAAATGTACACATTATTGTGACATTAAGCAATGAAAAGAGCGCTCAACCTTCATACCAACAGATTAACACCACCGTAATGAACTTGTTTGAATACATTTCTTCATGATTTTTAGTTATTTCACTCTGTCGCCCCTATGCAAAGCAACAAAGAACTATTTATTCAATTTTATGGAATAACTGAAAAATGCATCACAATGTATAAAGGGTTTAACTTAGATTTCTAGACCAGGGAAGCCACCTGCTGACACTCACAGGCATTAATCCAGTGTTTATCCTTACCAACTCTGTATGAGAAGAATCTGGATCTATCCTCAGTTATGGGCCGTCATATCTCAAAACTAACAAGTTCAAACTTACAGGCCAGTTTTACAAATCTATCTTTACGCACTGCATTTGAATTTGTACAACACACCAAAACTCCTGAGTTTTTTGGGGTGGTGGTGTTGCTTTAGATCAAAAAAGCTTGTTCTTGAAGCCATTAAAGATGCCTGAAAATTTTACAACATGCCTGCAGTTGCCATTAGAAACTGCTCTATCTTCCTGGCTTTTGTTAGTTGACAGGTCAATTCTAGATAACTATGATTAGAAGTCTTCCATGTTAAGAGTACAATAAGCATGCCTATATAAATTGTATAGATGAAGAAAACATGAGTACTTGCAATCTAAAGTTGTAACATAAAAGTATCTGAACAAAGTACTTCTTGATTTTAAGATGAGCTGAAACAAAATACATAACAGTAGCTCAGCAAAAAAACTGCTTGTTCACTATAAGACCAGGTTTGAAAAAGGGGAACCATAAAATTGGGTTTTGTCTCTCTTCAGTATGTGATAGTAATGCTGGGATCTTTTCTTAAGAGAAATGAATCAAAACTAGCACAACTGTGTAATGCTCTTGTAGTGTAATTACACAGAAGGAATCTGTACCAACAAATCTGATAAATCTTCAAGCACCATTTCTGCAGACAGCCTTAGCTCCTGATTGTAGATTGTGGATATAGGTTTAGCAGCTTTAGTCAGATTTCTGTGGCAGAAACTGTTCTGGATAGATGCTTTAGCCTAAGAAGTAGACTACCTTATATCCATGTCCTACAGAAACGGATATATAGTGAAGTTGATTTATAAATTCTACATAATATTAATTATGCAAATAATACATATGTACATATTTAGGAAAATAAAGTGAACAAATAGTTAAGAAAAGTAGCAAGCAGTAAGATGCAGTCAAGAAGTCAAATAATTTTAACACAGAAAAGATCACTAGTCCATGGACATTAATATCCCATCTCCAGAATGTTTAGAAGGTTGAACAGCCTAGTAATTGTACCTGCTCGGAAGTTTTACATAAAATAGGATCAAAATCTGTGATCAATGCCTTTGAAACTCCACCAATGGCTACCAATAACCACCCTGTCATTTATTTTACAGATTTTCCTCAGACATCTTTTATTGCTTTAGGACTTCCCATTCTCAAAACAATTCAGTGCTCATTTTAATTGCATGACATGCTACTTCCTGGTAAAAAGAACTATTTTTTTTCTTGATCAGTTTTATATTTACTTAGAAAAAACTTTTACAAGGGAAAACCACGTATTGCCTATATTCAGTGCTGATTCTTTTTTTACATCCAAACTGAGCCTAAGTTAAGATATTTAGCTTTACCTGAACTTAGAAGAAAATACTGAATAAATCTTTATCCTGCAGAAATATCCACTGAGGATAATCCACTATAAACCAAACAAACTATAAAACAAAACTCCGACCTTACTCAGTAACTCCTTCAAAAAAAAAAAAAAAAAAAGTCATCTTTTCAGATTACTTCAGCACTTTTACAGCTAAGTTTGACCTGACTCACCAACCTCCTTTACTGTGACAGGCTGGCAGTCTCTGACACCATAAGTTACCAGGAACACCATTCACATAACATTTCAAGGAAACTGAGATTCAGAAAAGTTTTTAAATTGACAGTGCATAGAAAATGCATTTCTTTTTTGTACCTACAAAGGCACTCAGTCATTCTCCAAGGAAAAGAAAGAGCTTAACAAACAGTATGTGCAGTTAAACTGACCTTTTGGAGTCTTCTAGTTTTTCTTAACCCCCCATTGTGCTTATTCTTTTGTTCATTAAAAACTTTGCAAGAGCCATCAGTAACATGATACTCTGAAACTTCGTTTTCATCACCTAGAAACCAAATTTAGAAACTTGAAATGAAAAATGCAATCTTGTGAAATGAAACTGCCATCAATTATTTTATCATAGCAAACAGAGCTATGCACAAATAAGATACCTAAGGTAATAATTTATACCAGTTATTTTTCCACTGTATTTCAGTTACAGAAAAAAGAATGACACTCAAGCATGTGACTTCATCAGCTAAACCAGTTTGAACTGGCTTACCAACCTCCTTTAAGATGAAAAGTTGGCACAGTCTGACACCACAAGTCACCAGAAAGCTGAGTTCCATCATTATATGTACTGTGTTTGAACACCATTTGCATAACTTTTAAAGGAAAGCGATATTCAGGTGTTTTACAACCAGTTGTAAGTAACCTAATTTCCAGTATGTTGAAAATTATATATTAACTACAAGTAGAGAATCAGCTAAATTGCTTTCTACTTATTACAAAATTTGCACTTTCTCTGAATACAGATATTTGAGAGTTTGCAGCAGTCATGGCTAGATTTTCACTTTCTTATTGAAATGTCGACGCTTTCAGTACACACTATGTTTATCTAATGACCTGAAGGTCTGAAACATGTTTTCAAACACTTTACAAGCAAATCTAGCAGCTGTTATCAGGCAAGCATTGCATGTACATGCATGCTTATCAGTCCTATTATTTATAAAAAGGCACCAGCCATTAAGAACGTACTCTAATGTAGCTGCCAAAAAGCAGTACTTTTCCATCATATATTTTGTGAATTAACATATATTTAATTCTTCCAACACTGGCAGGATGACTTTTATAAGTATTAAATAATAAACTTTTGAATAGTTTGAAAAATTCGCTTGCTTGCATAAGATGAAAAACTTTGACTTATCTTTTGATCAATGAAGTTTTAATTACTGAGGATTTAAGTAGATAATTTTTTCCAAATTTAATTCAGTGCAAGTCTACTTTAGGACATTCGTTAATTTTTCATTTCAAAGAAATGCGTGAGACCAGCTTAAGAAAGTTTAATAATTCAATGACTAATGTGGCCTAAATTCAGCTCCTCCCAAATAAGCTTTTAATTACTTTTGGAAAATACTGAGGGGTACTATCCATATTTACCAGTCTGACTGCATATATAACTAAGAGTAATTTGTTTTAACTCTGTCAGCTACTTAAGCTGTTAATACTTGAAGTAAGAAAACAACAACAAATTACAACACAAAAAATGACATTTTTTCTTACTGATTACTTATTTTAAAATCATAGTCCTTAAACTAGTCAAAATTTAATTACTTATTCACACTAAGGTAGCAAGTTTCACGTGAATTTACACAATATTGAAGTAATTTTTGTGTAATGCAAGTAAACCTGCCTTGCAGGTACAATTGTTAATGTAAACTCAATATTTAAATACAAAGTATCATTTAACAAAAGGAGAACTAATTACTTATGTTAATTTTATTTAGCATTGCACTGAGGCCCATCTTCACTGAGCAAGACTGATGGCAAGAACAACAGAACAGATCTTGCCACAAAACAAAATAAGCTAAGAAATTGAAATTTAACTTTTACATGGAAAACAGAATTTTTAAACATGTATTTTGAATCTTAAAAAAATCCCACAACCACAGGACTGAAAATGATGTCAGGAGATCATCTACTCCATTGCTTTACCCCAAGCAGATAGGGGTAAGGCAAGGTATGTCTCTGTTAATTTCCAGGAATTTATTTCCATCACTGTGAAAGAACATTCCACTGTTTTGCGTTTTTTTGAGGGGTGAGCTGGAGATGGGAGGGAGGCAGGCAGAAACAAGTGGTGTAATACGCCTTTTGCCACTCTTCATCTGAATGCTCAAGCTCCGCAGCTCTTGTCCCACTTTGGATTAGTCTCAAGACCTGTATGACTGCACCTCTTTCCAGTTATAGTCCACTCTCCTTGGTTCTTCATATTTACAGGAATGGTGGAAGGTCCATCACCTCCTATGATTATCATCTTGGATTTCTTATACATTACATAAATAAGGACTATTCTTTGCAATCCAGTTCCTGCTTCTCTCGACTATTAGGACTCCTCAAGCACTTTCCAGTTTTTCCATCCTGTAGGTCTCAATCTTCACAGTCCATTGTCAATTTTTCATTGATTGCTTCATTGTAAAGCAGTTGCTCAGTCACACATAAGTTTTCATCTTTATAAGTTTTTCCTAGCATATTTCAAGCTAAGACTATCAGAACTTTTTGAAGCAACTCCATCCACTGTTAGTGATCCCTATATTTAGCTCAAATACGCAGCTAACTCATGCCACCGTGGTCAATTAGATCCCCTGAATTCTCTTCTAAAACATTGCTTGATGACTGGTATCAAAAATCTACAACTCTGATAGCCCTCTTTTAGTCTTCTAACAAATGAGTGTGACTTCATTTTGCAATTAAAGTTTCTACTCATTGATGATCATTTATCACCACTGAGAAATTCTGAACCAGAATATTATGTTCAAAATCTTATCTGATATTTCCTTAGAGTTAAAAAGCAAAGTAATGAGTAGGCCCAATGAGCGAGCTTTTGTTCAATCAAATCAACCACGTCTACCTAATAAAAATTTTATCTGTTGTGTTCTAGTTTAAGAATATCACAACAAAGTGTCACTGAAATTGAGCTATATCATATCTACTATTTTGTACTTATCCACCGAGTTATTTACACCAACTATGAAGAAAGTAAGTCTGAATTTGTTCATCATTAATAATCCTTCAGGTACCTATGCATAGAATATTTGATTACTTGTGTTGTTACCATTATGGTAGTTATTATTCCACAGCACAGGCAAATACCAGGTTTTTTCTTTCAGAACACAATTTCTTCAATTCCTCTGAAAGCTTATGTGGCTACCAGGTTCTCAAAAAGAACCTTTGATGGGTTAAAACAATTTTATCTAGTTTGTTATGTGCTCTAGAGCAAGTGTCATCAAGCCTTTTAAATTTGACTACATCAAAATATTCCTCACCTTGTCCTCTATTCAGAAATACTTGTCCTTTTCTGCTTTAATAATTAGTTACAATTAAACTTTTCATGAAAATACACAAAACAAGAACCAAGCAAAAAACAGTTTTCTTCTTCATCCTTCCTTTTTTTTTTTAAAAAAAAAAGGACAAAATACCAGGAGAGGACATCATACAATATTTTTAGTGAGTCTGTCTACTTTCAAAACTTTCAAAAAAGGCACATCAAATCTAAGAAGTTTTCACATGTGTTTTTAAAGACATAAACAGCATTTTAGCAGCATTAAGTACCTAGGGCCTCAGGTAAAACTCATTCATCTAACTTAAAACTTCATCATTTTTGCACCAAATAACAGAGTGATATTCCAGATTCCCCATCTTAACACTGAACCACATTAATTATACTGTAATGGGTCTTAGTTTATGTCTTTTGCCCAATTAAGATAATACTTGCTTCCCACATTCAACATAAATATCTAAAATTCACTCAGCTAAGCCTTAAGTTTATTTTTATGACTAGAAATAATGCTAAGTCCCACTTCAAATTTCCAAATATTTTTAGGATGATAAAAGCTTAAAAGAGCATACTCTTGCATTCCCTGCCCAATATTATTTATTGTTGTAGCTGACAGATAAAAAGTCATAGGAATTAATGAAATCTGAGCCAGTATTGGCATTCTAAACCATGTAGTTCAAATGCCAACTTACCCTATCCTCAGCCCTACTGAAAAAGCAGATGGACTGGATTTCAAAGTAAGGCAACTTGCAATATGAATGACAAAAGTTCTTAGAGCCTCCTAGTAACACAGATCATTAACTTTCACAGAAGACAGTATTATCGCATTTTGATAAACTTATATTCATGATAGAGAAAAGCCACCTTTTTCCTTGCTTTGTAACTGCTAAAAAATTAGGTGCTGACACACAAAACCCAGTTACACAGCACTTATTGATTACAGAGCACTAAAATTTACTAGGTATGGCTGGTTTAATCAGAAAAAAAGCTGAAAAAGTGAATTTGAAAGCATCTTTTAGTATTTTAATGCCCATTGAATTTCAACTCCTGTATCTCTGACAGTTCTCTACTTGATTTATGACTCAGAGTAAGATGAAAATAAATAGCTATGTTTATGCCTGTATGGCTCAGTAGAACAGCTGGAAAGCCTTGCATGTACCCCACAGTGGAACCTGAAGTTTGCATCAGGACTTGAAAAGTTAGTTTCAGGTTAGCCTTCATATTACACTTCCAAGTAGTCTTAGTAAGTTTGCTTTCCACAATCTTACTTCTTGTCATGAAAGACACCGGGGAAAAGTGCCACTGACCTAAAAACACTAGGAAAAAAAAGGGCAAGACAAATGTTTGATATTTAAAACATATACAGATGTAAATAAACTTTATATGGATATTTGATTACTCCTAACTGTATATATATGATGTGTGAAAAGAATTATTTAGTTTTTAAGGATAATATACTGAAGTTACCAGCTTTCAAATCACATACAACATACGGAAAACCCAAGCAATTTACTATTTATTTACTACTTAAAAGAGACAAGAAATAAGTTACATTCAAGCAAAAATAAAAATGGAGAATATTAAACGCATATTTAATTTAAAAAAATAATCATTCCATCATACAGTGTCACAGTATGTAAGTAGTAAGTTTAAAACAAGATTTTCTTCCATAGAACTTGCATTAGGGGAAACACAATTCATCTTTCATTATTCATTCCTTCCATTTTTAAGTGAGCTCATTTGAACTGTCAGACTTGAGGTTCTGCTTGTCCACACCACAGATGCATTAACCTGAATACATTATATTCAGGGGGAAAAAGCCATAATTGAGAAATCAAACATCATTAAAATAACTAGAAACACCAATTGAGACTTACAGAACTTCATAACAAAAAGGATAAAAAGTATAAACATCAGATAACTTTTTTTTCTGAATACTGTTTCTTTTTCCTCTCCTCCGAAATCCGTTATCTTGAACAAGTTGTCCAGCAAGAATATAAAAGCATAACAGGCTAGAACACTGATCATAATATAATCACTAGAATTTAAAAGTTAGAATTACCTCTACAATTAACTGGCATACCTAAGATTAAAGGTAGTAAACATTTTCTCCTTCCCCATTTCTTTTCATGATTGTTTAATAAAAACCAAACTGTTCTTTGGCATTAAGAAATACATAATTTAAAGTTCATCTTCTAGTACAATGCCACAAAGCAAAAAAACACATACAGTGGGTTCATACATTTATACTTGTATAATATATACCTGCATCAACTTTTGTTAAAAAAATGTGTTATAATGATGCACTCCAGATATTAAAATACATATGCAGTGAACCCAAAATAGCAGCTCACAGTTCAGCAACTTATTACCCAGAGACATAAGCGCGGTCACCGTTCAACATTTCCACTAATCATAGAATCATTGAATGGTTTGGGTTGGAAGGGACCTTAAAGATCATTTAATTCTGCCCCCCCACCCCCCAGGGGCAAGGACACTTTCCAATTACTTCCTAACTCTGATACCAATTCTGTTGAGCCCTTTAACTTAGTAATTAATTTTATATAATTCATTAATGCACTGCTATAGCATTTTCTAGGGAAAACAGGTGATTAAGATAAACAATTACAATTACCAATATTTAACCCTATGTAAAGCTTGACAAATTGTGCTCAAAATACCAAAATCTGAAAATGATTACCCCAGTGCAAATTAGGAGCATTTTTCAGGGAAGTAGCTGCAATTCCATATTACAGTATACATTTAGATTGAAATAATTTAGGCTAACTAACTTGAAAATGCTCAAATATGAAAAATACTGTTAAAATCATTATTAAAAGATAAGATCAGCTCCATATTAAAAAGCCATGGGTGAAAAAAGATGTTTACGTTGCAACTCTTGCACATGCCCTCAAGTAACTTATTCAGTCTTCATCATAGCATGATTTAGAAACTGGTTAAGTCAATTTTTTTTTCTCCACTAGAGATTTTATGCCCTTAACTGCAATTAATCTAAAGGAGCGATTTTAATTTGTGAAATTAAAATAATTTGAACAAGGGACCCTATGATGAGGAGTTAGTTATAAACAATTTACAAGAGCACTACAACATTTAAAAGAGAAAGACTTTGGTTTTTTAAACAGATTTTGAGTAGCAGCAGAAAGTTTACAGGATACCAAGCATTAGGGTTAAAGGCAGCTCAACTACTTCTGTGGCACTTTGCAAGCACAGTTTCCTTATCTGCTGATAACATCTTTGTGTTTGCAATGCATGGGGAAAAAGAAGGTGTTGGATCTTATGCACTAATTTATTTTACCCAAAACCAGTCAGTACTGCAGCATTTTCTTCTTCTGGTGTAATTCTGAAATGTTTTTCCCTTGGGAATGGCAGTTAATTTTGCATTTTAGTTGCATATTTAATGCAGTATGATATCTTTTCATTTTCCAGCTCTATGTAGTGACTTACCAGTGGTGTCAGTACAGTAATTCACATTGGTTCTGTAGGATTTTTCATGAGCATGCTGAGGCAGCCTATTCACATCATCAGAATCTAGAGCTTCTGCAGTGTCAGCTTTTTCACCATCTGACATATAATTTAATGGCACACTTCCAGGAAGTTCAGCTGGTTTGAAGTTTTTCTTTACTGAAACATCATTCGCTGGAATAGATTTTTTCCTACTTTTCGTGGAAGTACTATGTGGTTTACAGAAACTCACACCAAGTAACTCCATGCTTGTAAAGGAGTCTTTGCAACAAGCTTCAGGAGGACTCTGTGATCCCTTTGGTATTTGTACCTTTACTTCATTTTCATTTGAATTATATGATGAAAAGAAGTCTTCATAAGAAGCCTCTTCAGTGCAAAAAGACTTGCTATATGTAGTAACTGCTTGCAAAAACTCTTTAGGCCCTGATGGACCTGGTTCTGAGGGAGATAGTTTCAAACTAGACAGTGTTTGTAGTTTCTTCCTCTCCTCGTTTTCAAGAATACAATCATTTCTGCCAATAGGGAAACTTCTATCTAATGAACCTGTATTTAAGTCTTCACTGTTCATAGGTGATTCAGAGAGACTGCCAATCAAAGCAGGAACAGCATTTAACTTGACTGGTTTTTTGGAAGGAGTACTATGATCCAATCCCTTGATCTGGAGAAGAGAACTTTCATTTACAGTTGAAGTAGTTATGCTATTTTCATCCTTCTGATTTTTCTTCGGAAACTGTTTTAGATCTCTCTTTTCTAAAGACAATTTATCATCCAAAGTGTGCTGCAAAATCCGTTTCTTTCTTAGATGACTTCTTCTGTGTTGTTTTGGTGTTAAGCTCTTGTCCTCATAGCTATGTGAGGGAGAATTAACTGATGCACTCATGGATACGTGACTATCAGTCCAAGTACCACACGCATGTTTTACCACCTCTGTTTTCTGTCTCTTTAATTCATCACTTCCACAAAGATAATCATAACTTGAGTTCAAGCAGACTTCCATTTGTTCTCCTGCAAAATATGAAAAGTGACAATATAAATGTATTAAAAAAAACCCAGAAAGTGTACTAATTTCTTAGTAAAATATATATGAAATTACTGTAAAGAAGAAAACAAGGATTTAGCTACTTCTCTGGATATTATATGGCAAGTCATCAAAAACTAACTGAAAATAGATTAGAAACAAAGCCCATTTTATGTTGACAAGAAGCTACAATGGCTTTAGCTATCATACCTTCTTATGTGGTAATAAGTATCCATTACTCCTGTTTTGCTTTCTTGCAACAAAGCAGCAGAGGAACTCCCTTTCACTCTTACATTTTGGAAGAAAAACAGAATTTTGCACTGCACTGAATAAGCTAGCTATAACAATACTGGAAACTCAATAATCATTTCTGCAAACACAGCATAACCACCACCTTGTAGTTTTTATAGTTAGGGTGAAATTAAATACAACATCATAGTATCATACCCCATAAACCAACACAATGTATTAAAAAAAAATTAAAATGTGGAAAAATATATAATTTCTTGCAACTATTCTTACAAAATGATTTCAGGGTAGGTGATATACAGGAGCTCTTGATACCTCTTCACAATAAATTCCTCTGAAACAGGCTAGTGTCTTTGATTATTGCATTATAGGCGCTTTTGTTTAAATACACACTGAGTGCAAAGTTTCAGCCATACCACTTCAGTAAGTGCTCCTGTAAGTTTTAGGGGAAGTCCTGATGTTGCTTACAAATGTAAGTAATATTTTTAAACATACAGTGTAGCTAGCTAAACTCAGAAAAATGAAATATATTGAGATGAGAAACTTCACATGACATGATCAGACTCCCATATTAACAGCTGAAAAGTCTAAACTTCAACCCTCAAATTAAACTGGATTCTTGAACTTTTTTAACATTATTAACCAACATTCTCTCAAGTATCTCACAAGCATTGTTATTTATTTGATTGTTCAGTATTTAAGCTGAAGAAAACATTAGGTTTCCTTTTAAATTCAAGTTTTTTGATTGAAAATTTGGAAGACATCTCAGTTCCCTGAGGTTTCTGTCTCATTCAGTTCTCTTTTTTGCTTCCCATTTCACACCGTTTAGTGTGCACTCTGTATTCTACACAAGATCTTTCTAAGAGCAGAGAAGACTGACACCATGCCAGAACAAGAAGCCATTAATGGGGAATGTTGTGCGGAAAGAGGAAGAATTGATGCAAGCAACACAGCACTTAGGCAGAGCATTTACCCAACTTCATTCCTTATGCTCCATTTTCCTTGAATTCTTACTTCTGCATAACATGCCAGTTAAAAAGAACTAAAATAATTCAGCTAATAAATTACAGAGCAAATATATATAGTTCTCATTTCAGTACTTTTCAAAATAATATATACAGTCTATGTATTATTTTTAATTTCTGTTACCTATAACATTGTGTTAGTTACCTGGTATCAATGCATGTTCTGAATTAGTTAAGACACAAGTAGACAGTGGGCAGTCTCCTGGTGAACTACTTGGAGGTATCGGAGACACTTGTGAAGCTAGGAATTTGTAAATAATAAACTAGTTAGCCTTGTTTGCAAACATACAGATTTCCAAACCATCTCTTCTTATTTCAAAACAGCTCAATCATAGATAATGAATGATAACCATACAAATAGACTGCTTAACAGTTTCTCAAATTTACATACTAATAAAAAAGAACCTATTAGATATTCTATAATTTTAATCAACTTTATTCTAGATAACGCTGCAGCACATTCTTCTGAAATCAAAGAATGATGGCAAACCATTTAGAAAATATTATAGATCTTTCTAAGCCAGTTGAGGCATTTTACTACAGAATCTGTCAAATTCTGCAATTATCAGCATAGCCTTGATGTGGCAGAAATGCTTTTCAAAATATTTAAAGGTATTACCTTAAAACTCAAAGAGAATACAAGCCCTGCTAAAATGAATGAGATTTTTTAGCACTATTCTTCAGTACCTGGACAGTTGCCTCATCAATTTTAGACTCCCTTTTAAACTCTTGGCCTGGGCATAATGCCATTACAGTCTTTTTAAGTACAACATTCACATTAAGATTTAGAGTCTTGCTGTAAGGCTTAACCAAGTTGTGATAATATCAATTTAAAGTTTAGGAAGTCTAACTTAAACATTAATCCTTGTGAGCTGTCTAGTGATTAAAAAATTCCTTTTTTGCAATCATTGTCTTCCATGACTTCTTGGGCCTTTTGATAAAAAGAAACTAAAAGTGAAAGCATTCACATCTACTCGAAACCTGGGAATAAGGAACGACATGCAATCAAGTAAGATATTGCTGGGAATAAGGGAGATCATGCAATCAGGTAACATACTAAAAGAATTTCGAAGGCCAGAACAAGACAAGTGTGCCAAAAATTCAGCAATTAAGGTGGTAGCAATTTGTGCATGTTCATGGGCAAGTAAAAATGTCACTTCTTACCAGTAGGAGAAAGATGCTCTCTTTTTTTCTTCATCTCGTTTATTCTTCTTTGCATTGCACTGCACTGATCTTTTATCTTATTAACAGGGCTGTATACAAGTGAACCATCGTCTTCAAATAACAAAACTGGTACATCAGTTTCTACACAAAAAAAATGCATTTGTTCATTAATATTACATGCTATGACAGCTTCAGGTGAAGTGTCTTTGGTTGTTTTTTTTTTTTAATCGAAAAAAATCAAGTTTCCTATACCCAACACCGCTACAGATGCTTTAATAACACAAAGAACTCTGTAAAAAATGTCACCTTTATTTCTCATGGCAAGATGCAGAAAAAAAAAAAAAACAACACCCCAAACAAAAAACCCAACACAACAAAACCTAAAGCCCATCAAATGCTTTAAAGAAATAACTGAAAATATTTGGATCTCAGTCCAAAATAGTCCTTACCAGCGTTAACTGCTAACTTCTGTACAGCTAATTCTTTAGCCATCTGGTCCAGTCTTCTCTGGAGCTTTCTATCATTTCTTGGAGATTTTTCAACAAAGTGTTTTGGCTGCATACATCTGTGCTACAAGACACACAAAATCATTAATTATATGGTATGAAACTGCCAGAAGTAACCATACTTCTTATTTGCCTATCACTTTATCATGGTATTTATTATTAGTGTTTAACTCTATGCTACTTATTATACTCCTGCGTCAGAGTCACAGATAATTGTAGAAGTTAACGTTTTCCAAAATGAATTCTAATATGAAATAAAAAAGAACCTAAGAGATTTTTTTTTTTAAGGTTAGATTTTAGTAAAAAGAAGACTAAGTCACCATCTTCTCTTTTATGCTTGTAGCAAAACTAAGGCTTGATTTTTTTTTTTTTAATACCAGGATTTTATGGTTTGTCACAACTCAGTGAAACATAAGCCACATTACAGTCATGCTTTTTTTAAATTAGATAATCATTATGTCATTTTCACTTAAATCTGCTTTATTTACCAATATAAAAACTCTACTTTTATTATAATTTCTTCAGATAAGATGTCACATCATCACAGCCATACCCTACCTTAAAAAACCTATTCAGATGGGTAGATAGAGTTTACAGTGTTCTGAAAAAAAAAAGTTCAAATGCCTGAGGTTAGGAAGTCCAAACTTTAGTTTACTACTCTAGGCCAAAGTAAAACAAAAAAATCACCTACTCACTTTTTTGATCGGTAGTGGTAATCCTTCATTAGTGTCCACTGCAGGAAATAAAGACTCATCAACATGTACTCGAGTTTCTCGACATCTGTGTAATAAATCAGAGCAGGTTTGTTTCTGGGTTTTTTGTGTTTTTTTTTTTTTTTTTTTTAATTTTTTTTCATAACAAAAACCTTTATTGCAAAACAACTTGTCTGAGCCCTGAATAATGAAACACCAATGCTTCCTAAGTGTGTATCTTTAGGATAACTACTGTAACACCAAAAAAAAACCCCAAAAACCCAAAACTATTATACATCAAATACAGGACACAACATTTTTTTTGTCTTAATGATGCCCTCTAAATTGCTGTTCTGTAACTCAAAGATTCCCACTCACATGTTATTTTTTCATGCATTCAAAAATGACTGTATTAAGTCCTTCTGGCCAGATTCTCATGAACCTCAAATATTGCCCTGACTTTTGTGAGGAGTGTAGGCTTTCATTGTTCTCTAGATAGCGAATTTAACCTTAAGTTGGTCGCTGCGATTACAGTAAACTACAGTCTACAGAATGTCATGGTGGCAGGAAATCTTTCTATTCAGGCAAATGAGGAAGGAGGCTTCATCTGATCCTGGCTTTTACCTCTTATCCGTTAGTCTCCGTTTCCTGCATGCTCTTTGTATATGCGAAGCTAAAGATCTTTATTGAGAAACAATCTATATTTATGCAAACATTTTTTTAATTACAAAACACACAATCCAACTGACACCATACCCCTAGTTTTCCCTGTCTTTTCATATTCGAAGACCACCTTGAGAACAGTAGGACTAACGTTATCTTGGAATATAATAATATAATACAATCTACTGTATTTGTGAACACTATAGATGATGTTAAGACAAGAATTTGGTTATTAATACATAAAGTTTTTTTGATCAAAATAGGTAAATACAGTTTTATTCTCAAACAGTAAGTAGTATCATGGGAAAGGGTAAGGAACCTTAGTAGGCTACACTAGAATTCACCCCAAAGGCATTCAACGCTGTGATTCTAGTGACACCTAGTGATGTGACTGCTGTAAGCGTGGATCTGTGGAATTACAACCTAATGCTTAGTTAACTCAGTTTGGACTAAAGAGCCAAACCACTACATGTATTTGTCAAACTAACCGAGTTGAGAGTTTTCTGGAGCATCAAATAGAAATGATTTCCAAAATGCTGGACTTCAGTGACTAATATTAAGTTCTGGATAATAATTATCATGAATGTAGACTACATTAAAATTTACATTAATTCAGAGAAGCTATACAGAAGAAAATTTGACCATTAAATATATACGTTTTTTTTTTTTTACTTTGCAGGTAAATCTGAATTTAAATGATTTGTCTTATTTGTGACATGAGTTACTGTACTAAGAATATATAAGTAGTTTCCCAATTATAGGTTTGATTTGGAAGTATGAAGTGTTCTTAATTTGGACACAAATTGTAGCAATTCTATGTTATGTTTGGTTCTTTTTGTTGTTGGGTTTTGATTTTTTCTGTAGGTTGCTCAATGAGATATTTGAGTTGAAGAAGCACTAAACCCAACTTTTTTCAGCAATCCCAAAGCTGTCACTCCTTTTGCATTAAACTTACTATTTGTAAGTTTTACTCTAATATTTTGTGCTGATTTTTATGGTGAAAAGTGAATAGTATAGTATTTTTCAAATCACACGGCATGTTCCAGTTAGAGGCTCAAGCACTGCTTGGGGAAAGATAACACTAGTATGCACACAGCAGTGTGGAAGAAGGGGTCCACTAGCTCTTAAGTGGGAGAGTATTTGGCACAAAACAGGAGAATCAGGAAACGCTGGAGTAATTGTTTATCATCTGCTTCCTTGGCTGGTGTTTTCAGAGCTCAAACATCAAAAAGTAGCATCCAGATTAAATACCATATACTGCAGCATCCTGTTTCCAATATCAAGCATCCCAAGAGCATGTAAAAACATGAAAACACAGCCAAATATTCCCAGTTTACTTTGCTATATTCCAGGGATTTCTGGTTTAGACATGGTCAGATGCAATACTGTATTTGGTTTTTGATTAAATGTTTAATTGCTTCAGCACTTTTTTTAAATCCATGTAAGTCTTTGCTGACTGTGACTCTGCAACAGTGTTCTACAGCCTAACCATGTTCTGCTAAAAACATAATTTACTGTATCCTCTGAATCTGCCTCCAGACTCATGTGATGCATTCCAATTCTACTGGAAAGGAAAACATAATTCATTACCTATTCAGCCTCTCCAGATGAACCTTTGTGTTCACAGGTCTCTTGCCCTCCACTTCTACTTCTTTTCCGGACTAAAGAATTATTGTCACTTCAATCACATCTTGTGAGAAAACTATTTCAGTTTTACCAGTCATGCTCACTGACATCCTCTCCCAACATTCCATGATAAAATGCTGTCAGCCCACTACATGAGGTTTTACATTAGGACTACTGCTGAGCTAGAAATACCATGAAAACATTTACTGTTAATCCCAAAATCTAAGTTTCACCTCACACAATTTGATGACCATCTTCCTCCTGCTATACTTAAGAGGACTTACGCTTTAAATAGTCTCCTTGACACCACCAAGAATTTTATTCCCTTCACTGTCTTAGCTTCTTAACACAACTTCTCCCATTTTAAGTAGAATTTTTTTGAAGTTGAGCCCTGTTACAGAACTTCTTGGGTTTTGCTGTTCCAGTACGAACACTGATTTTATACTGTGGTCATACTTACAAAAAGATTCTTGGAAATAATTTAAATCACCATCCACAAAGCAATTAAGACCAAGCAATACCTAAAATATTTGTCTTCACACTGCACTCCAACAGGAGTTACCTAATCACCAATCTACACTAGAAAGTTGCCCTTTACTAATGCATTTCCCGAAATGACATTTCACAGCATTTCTAGCCATCTCTAACGTTCAGAATGTTCCATTTGCAATTGAAGGGAGCAGCTGGTTAATCAAGTCATCTTTTTTTTTAGCAATGCTAAAACTTCAACTCATATGAACTCTGCATTATTTGCTTACACAGTTGTAAGTTTCAAACCAAGCTTCCATTCATACAGGACCACTATTTTAGTGGCACAGACTCTTCAGTCCTCCCTGTTTACATTTTCCCAGGGTTCAACAGACTTTCTTCTGCCTACCAGATTTCTCAGATACTGATATACTAGGCATATAACTTAAAGTCAGGCACTCCAGTTCCCTCATCTTATTACAAAGAAATTTAACATGTATGCTAGCACAAACTAATTTTGTATTGTCCGTGCCTCATCTGAATAACACTATGTAGTGAGACTATTCATTACTCTCTCTTATGTAAGCTTCTGCTGCTCCTGACCTACAATTTGCTCAAGGATATGTCATACCTATGAATTCTGCCTAGAATACACATCAATGTAAGTTCTATGTTCTTGTGAACCTTTCAGCATTACCTTTAAACTAAGACAGAAGACAAAGATTAGAGACGTTCAATCATAATTTACAGCTTGGTTGTCATCACCTGCACCACAGTAACAGTTTCAGATGATTTCCACAGTTCCAACAAACCTCATCTTCTAAGCCATATAGCAAGACCTTGCCTTGTCCAGAGCATGATACTAGGAACACTTCAAAAAATACCAGGAAGATGCTAGTGCTACTTTTGGTTGGGAGAGAGTTAATTTGCCTCAGCATAGCTAATATGAGGCATCGTTTCGTTGTGCTGAGAACATTGATAACATACTATTGCTTTTAGTTGTTGCTAAGGAATGTTTATATGAAGTCAAGGACTTTTTCCATTTCTGATACTGCACCTGTTTTCCCAGCTGCTTCTCTACAAGAAGCTGGGAGGGTACACAGCCAGGACAGCTGACCCAAACTGACCAAAGAGACATTTCATTCCCTAAAAATCATACTTAGTATATAAACTGGGGGGAGTGGGCCAGGGGGACTCTATCGCTCTCTGGGTCAAGCTCTACTGACACTCTGGCTCTGACTGTTTGGGGTCAGGCTGGGCATTGGTCAGCAGGTGGTGAGCAGTTGTACAATTTGTTTCCTTTTCCATTATTTTCATTACATATTAGTAGTAATGCTAGTATTATCAGTATTGTTAGTATTATTGGTATCATTATTTTATTTCATTTATTTTCAATTACTAAACTATTCTTATCTGAACCCATGAGTTCATAGAATCATAGAATCA